GAGAGAGAGAGAGAGAGAGAGAGAGAGATATTTTCACCGTACCTTCTCAGAGAAGCGGGACTGTTCCTGCAGGTACCTCTGCTGAACCTTGGCTTGGTCTCGCACCAGTTTCTGGACCTGAGCCTGCTTCTGGTCATCACTGATGGCCACGTCAAATGCCGTCTTTTCTCTTCTAAGACCCTATAGTGAGAAACAACATAGTTATTTTAGCTTTTTTGTGTTATAACGTTTATCCTTATTGACACCAAATAAAACACAGAAAATCTAAACCTTATGTACATGTATGTGTAACATTCCTGATCCCTATAATGAGAGCACACTGATACTTTGTATTTGGAAATGTCCCCTCAGAAAAAATTATTATCATCTAATCTGAAATGGCATTGTATGAATTTTATAAAATCCCCATCAAAAAAGTTCCAAATCACATCAGATCAATCAACTGCTATCACTCTCAATTTTTGTAATAGATTCTATTTAAAAGTGGTAACCAAACTGTCACAGAAAAATTTTTAATTTTTATCACTTCCAACAAGAATCAACAGACAAACAAATACCAATAAATGGATAACTCAAAACTTACAGATCCTGGCAAGGACATGGTGGCTTCCCGCCTGCGTCTCTCCTCTTCCTCCTCCTCCGCCTTTCTTCTGGCCTCACGTCTGGCTGCCAGCAAACTCTGCATCTGAAAGTTATCAAGGAAACACAGTGCAGTTATTTTTTCTTTTTTTCCCTTCTTTTTCTTTTTTCTCTGTTGCTTTTTTGTTTTTTTTTTTGTTTTTTTTTTTGGGGGGGGGTATCTTAAGAGTAGTGTAATAATCAATCGATATCTGGATGCTTTCTGAGTGGTACATGATATTTACTTTTTTTTTTTAATTTTGCGACTGTATACAATAATTATTATAAGTATTGATAAACATGAAAGTGGATAGAAATTTTAACATACCTGCATTAATAAATTCATTTATAAATTTGAGTCTTGCAAATGGAATCATTTATTTCTTCCATACTCCAGATCATGCTGTTTGTCCCCTTCTCTCTCTCTCTCTCTCTCTCTCTCTCTCTATCCACAAATATTTTTTTTTTCTATTCACTAAGCTGTAATGTCACTATACCCCTACACATATAACCTGTACTCACCTTGCCCCCCTGTCTGTCTCTCTCTTGGTCTTGTTTCTCCTTTATCAAGCTGTCCTGTCTCTGGGCCACTTCTAACATGGCCAAGGCAGCGTCTGCCTCATACTCCTGGTTCTCCTTGGCCTCTCTCCTGGCCTCCAGTTTCTTCAGATACATCTCTCTCTGCCTGTCCAGGGCTTCATTCATGGCCTACAACGTCAAAGGGCAAGGTCATATGATAAGGTCACAGGTCAAGGTCACAAGTTTGAAGATGGTATTATGATAAAAAAAACTCATTCATCTGGTTCAGCTTCTTTTCACTTTTGAAAAGACAGTCTGAAAATCTTTGACATGAAAACTGAGGTAAATTAAAGCATATGGCTTGTGCCATCACTGTTTTTATAGGTAGCTAATCAGTGCATCATATGAACATTAAATCTGGATATAATACAGATTACAGTAGGAAAATATGATAAACATCTTTTACCTTCCTCTTTGCAGCATACTGTGCTTCAAGTTCTTTCAAGATGGCATCAGCATCTACTTCTTCACCTGCTTGTTTCTCTGCAGACAAATTAAATTGTATTTTTTTATTTATGAAATTTCTCTCTATCAAAAATTGTATTTATCAATAGCAGCAACTGCAATATTTAGGTCAATGGTATTTTATTGAAATGATTTATAGACTGAAGAAATATAAAACAGTTTAGAAACAGTAACTGTTGTATAATTTTACTTCTTTTCTAAACATCCAGCCAAATTATAGTCACAATAAAAGCCACAAAATTTCAGACAAACAGAAAGAAAAGTATAACTAAAACATACTTTTTTCAACTTCTTCCTTTTCTTTCTCAAACTCTTTCTCCAAGTCCTGCAATTTCTTCTCTTCCCAGCCTCGATTTGGTTCCATTTCTGGCAGCATTGTGAACAGAGAGTTCGTAAGATTGTCCATCCACGCCTCGCGCTTTGCACGACGCTGTGATTGCTGCACTTTTATCAGCATAGAGTCATCCTAAACAATATGATAACATTTACCTTTTTAATACATATATATTTAAGTCTTTCACATTAATAGCAGAAAATGTTAAATAACTTGATTAACTACATAATAATATATAACATACATAAACTGAGCTGAGAAAAATTGGCATGTGCAATGATCATAGTTGAGAAATTCTCTAAAATTCAATCAAAACCATTCAACTACTGAAATTTGTTTTACAACAATATTATCATAATGTATCAGAGAAATACCAATCCACTTGCCTGTTCTAAGATAATTTTGCCCAGGGCGTTGTTTTCAGCATTCTGCTTCTGCTGCAGGTCAGCTAGCAAAGCAATGGAGATGTCTTCCTTGACACGTTCAGGGCTAACATTGGGGTTCTTCTCAAGAATTGTCTTGTACTCAGCTGTAACAGAAACAATTATCATCACAAAATAATACAGTTTAACATGAAATTAAGTATAAATAAAACATGACCAAATCTGTGAAATAATTATTGAAATTAAAAAATGAAAAAGTTATTGGTTCTAATGATATCACTGATGTCTTAAGTATTAAAATAATATGGGGTCTTAAAAACAAAGCCACAACACCTCTTAAGCTTACCAAATTTATAATATATTATAATAAATAAATAAATAAATTAATTAATTAATTTATTAATTAATTAATTAATTAATACATTAATACAAAGCTCACCTTGCAGCCTGAACACCATGGCAGTGGTGAGCAGCTTGAACTGTTCAGACCTGCTCTGTGCCACTTCTGTCAGATACTGCTCTTTCTCTGCCTCCATCATGTCTGCCTCCCTGCTCTCTAAGGCTGTCTGGCGGCACTTACTGCGCCATTTCATACGATCTTGACGTACCTTCTCCAAATTGGCTTTCAAATCCTGTAGAAGGATTTAGTTGCAATGTTATATATACATATAGTTTTTAAATAGGAACAGTTAGATATTTATGAGATTAAGGCAAACAAGTCTTATTCACATGTAATTGATCATCCTTCATATTTTTAGCATTCAATCAACCTCTTCAACTCCTACATATTGGTTTCAACCTCCTTATTGCATTTAAAGATAAAGCCCTTGCATACATCTAGTCTGGGTCTCATATGGGCTTGCCCCTACTTATGTCTATTACACTATCATTCTATCCTTCCTCTATAGACATGCTGCGGGCTGCCTCCCAGGGTCTTGTTATAGAACCCCCCACCCCCTCCTTTCACTCCATCTTACCTCTACAGACATCCTGCCCACTGCCTCCCAGCCAGGATCTTGTTATACACCCCCCAACCCCTCCTGTAACTGTCTTACCTCTACAGACATGCTGCCTGCTGCCTCCCAGCCAGGGTCTTGTTATACACCCCCCAACCCCCCAGCCCCACCTGTAACTGTGTCTTACCTCTACAGACATGCCGCCTGCTGCCTCCCAGCCAGGATCCTGTTCTGCTGCCTGCATGAGCTGCATCAGGACATCTCTCTCAGCCTGTTGTTTCTGCTCAGCCTCAGCAAGCAGGGAGTCTTGCAGGGCTGCAGTGCCTACACGGAACGAAAACAAAATGTGTGACTGACACTGAATTTAATTACTCAGGAATGTTCTTTTACTGCTACACTTGTTAATTTATGACTGTTTGACTATGCTCTTCCTTTCTGTAGCAATATACATGAACCTTTTCATCTCTTGGGTTACAATTCAGAAATGAAAGAAATAAAATTAAATGCGTATGCCACTAACAATAACTTTCCTATGGATAGAAGGGGTATCCAATGCTCTTACCTTACATTAGAAAACTAATGTTTTAGATTATTTTAAGCTTTAACTAGAAATTTTATGAAATATAGGTTATTATGCTGTTAGGGTCTATTAAAACACTTGTCTTGATAATAATCAGCTGTCATAATGAATGAGACTGATCAAAATCAGTAGTTTTCATTTTAGAAAACAATGTGTGGGTTTATGGGTCCTGAATATATTAAAAATTAGTTATCTCTCCTGAAAATCAGAACAAAGTTAACCACATGATTGCACACTTTCTGCATACACACTTAGTTTGATCTTCAATAACTATCGTGACATACAGAGAATTAGAGATAAACAAGTCAGTTCATGCACTGAGAAAAGGGTGAGTTTTTTAAGACAGGAATTACTAACAAGCCCAATGTTAAAGTGGGCATGTTTTTTTTTAGTAAGATATCACATCCTATTGTGTCATATCAGTTGTAATTTCTCAGCAGACAGAAAGAGACTACTTGAAAAACACAGTGGGATTCAGAGGGAGAAAGGCTACATATTTTGGTGCATGATGTTAGCACTGTCCACAAGGTAAAAAAAAGACAATCTATAGCCTCTAATAAATTTTCTACATAGGACCAAGGTCAATCACAAACAGTCAGTCAAACCAAACCACATAATTCAAACAGATTCCACAGAATGATCTACCTGTTTCCCCCCCTAACATGGCCACAAGACCCTTAACTGGTCCTGATTTAACAGAAATTAATGGCTTCTGTGTTATTATATAAATAAAATGCTATCATGTTAAAAAAAAAACAAACTTGCAGCTACTAAACTAATATATGAATTACAGATATGTATTTCAATACGACAAACTTTGATGTTACATTATTATTTATTATCAAGTCAAAATGATAGTTTTCTATGTTATCTTATTAAAGTTTTCATAAACTAAAGGATATAAAAATTAGTTTTATGGAAAAATATCAAAACATACAAGACCTATTTTATATTGATCTTAAAGTCTATAGGCCGATATTTTCAATTGAGTCATGTGACCCTTCAATGTGACCTGTCACCATGGCAACCTACCTCCCCCACTGACTTCAGCCAACATATCCTTCATCTTGTTTTCTGCTTCCTCCAGCTTCAGTTTATCCTCTATCTGTTTGCGGTCTCTCTCCGCCTCCTCGGCCTTCTCCTCCTGTTTTTTCTTCCTCCTGGCTTCCAGCCTCTGTTTGGCTATAGCTTTCTGGCGATCTCTCTCTGTCACGAAGCTGAAATATACACCAGGCATACAACACGTGCTAAAATCTAAATGTAAAACAAACTTTTTTTCGAGTTTCATAACAAGAATCTTTCAAATATGTCTTTAAGTCTTCTTAGAAAACAGTAAAAATAGAAACATATTCACAGCATATTACATGAAGTAAAATTTGAATAAAATATTTTTTGGGATATCATTAAATTTTATGTAGAATTTCATGCTGATCTTTTTCAAAATTTTCACTAAATGAAATATAATTATAAATGAAAATATACCCCCCCTCCCCCCCCCAACAAAAAAATGCTACAGATAACTCACTTCTTCTCCCTATCCTTCTCCTGCTGCTTGGCCATGCTGATCAATATAGTGGCAGTGTCCAGTTTGTCTTCCTGCTGCAGACGCTTCTTCTCACGCCTCAACTTGGCCAGTTCCAGCTGTCTCTGTTTCTCTGCTGCGTAGCGATCGTCTTGATTGCGTAGAGAGGCCAAGAGAGCCTGCTTCTCTGCCTCCAGGGACATCTGCAGACCATTCAATATGTTCTACAATAATAAAATAAGTGACTTCTTATAAAATGCCAACAGAAAACAATAGTTACTGGCCACTGCTTTTGTGCCACACAGGTAATGATCTTTTTCTCCTTCTCTGGCAAAAACGGACAGGGCTGTATGTGGAAAATGAGGTCAGCAGTCTGGGTGAAATGATGTAGGATCATTTTGTCTGCAGAAAACACGTAATGATGAACCTGTCCACTCTTGTGGATGACGATGATTGTATTTTAAACTCAAACTGATTAAAGGACGGTAAAAAAATAATATTAAATAATTTACCATTTACATTTAAGATAATACATATATAATTCTTTTAATTCATCTAACCAAATTCTGAATTTAAATCGCTTGTCAATAAGATAATATAGCCAACAGACTATGCAATCCCTAAAATGAATTTAAAATTGGATATATATAATCTTCAGATCACTTCTGGCCCAGGTGGTACCTTTCTCTTCTTGTTCTCCTCCTCCACCTCCCTGGCCTCTTCCTCCTCTATAATCCCCTCCAAGGTGGCGTCGTCTGTCTCCAGACCCTCCGCCTGCCTCTGTGCCACCAGCTGTCGCTTCCTCTCCAGTCTCTCGCGAAACTTTCTCTCTTGTTCTTCTTTGGAGTCTCCATACTTCTTCTGAAAGCCTGGATGAAGACAAAAATGTCATTGTCATTTTTTAAAATTTCAAATGAAGGGTAGGAGACATCCTCACACATGCAGGCTCATAGACATAAATGCAGAGAGAGAGAGAGAGAGAGAGAGAGAGAGAGAGAGAGAGGTGATTTTTCTGTCAATATCTTTGAATGCTGTAACAATGTTTTTGCTGAAAATATCAAAACAGACTGTGAATACAGCATTTCACTGAATTTCATGAAAAGCTGCTTTAAAATCTTACACAATGAGGCGGCATAACAAAGGTCTTAAAACATATGTTATGGAGTCTATGCTAAGTAAATAATTATGAAACAGCTTCAACTGATTAATTCTGGTAAAATACCTTTCTCTGCCTCCATCAACTGGTTAATGAGAGCCAGAGCCTCGTCCTCCTTGCCCTGAATTCTCAGTTTCCTCTCCTGTAACTTGATCTTCATCAGTTTACTCTGGCGTTCACGCTCTGTCAAGTTGGCCCATTCAGCCTCCCCGTACTGCTTCATCAGACCCTGAAAACGTTCAAGGCAAATGTGAATAACATTAGATTGAAGTGAAATACTGGTAGAATAGTATATATAATAGCTCGAAGAGGATAAGTAAGTGTAGTATAGTGTATTACTTTATAAATTAAGCCATAAGAACGATGCTTATAAACCAGAATGCAGTTCTGTATGTTTTCTCTACAAGATAAGTAAGTTAGTGCAGAAGGAGTAAAACACAGTATAAAATCACACTAACTTACACTATATTAATCATAGAGCATGCTCATCTTGCCATTTAAGCAAAATAATGTAATAAATGATGCTGTGTCTTAAATTTCACAACTAATAAGTTAATCATTTTTTTTACCTCCAGCAACAGTTTATCCTTGACAGCATCATACTTCTTCTCCAGAGCTTGCACCAGCTCTCTCTCCTCCTCTGACATGACTGCAGCGCCACCTGAGGAAATAGATGGCGGCACTTCCTGTTCTCCCTTGTCGCCTAGCAACACTGTTGCTAGGTTATCATTCCACTGCTGCTGCCTGGCCATGGCCTGTACCATCTTCATCTGCTTCATGGCCTCTGGACTCTGGAGTTTTACAGACAAAAAATTGTTTGAGTATGACCTTTATACTATATAAATTATATGAAGAGAAATATTCTAAAATTAAAGTCTAACTTAAGGAAATGTCAATTTTTTGAGTGATGACTAGAGAAGGGAAAATGTTAATTTTTACAAGTAGTGGCAAGCTACCTGTTTACTACAGAGAGGATATATTAGACCTGGGACAGCATTTTGCTAACTAAATAATTGACTTAGTGTTCAATGTGAAGTAGCTCTTCAAGTAAAGATAAAAAATGGAGGCATAACTACCAGACAGCATAAATACCACATTTAAAATACATTGTATAATAACTGCATATATCTACACACTCACATTTGTGGACAATAAAACCAAGTGTCATGGTATAAACTGTGAGGGTTGACAAATTGGCTCACTTGCACATATTTTTTTTACCACATCATGCAATCCCTTTGTTTTCAGATAAAATAGTTCCGCTAACAGTGTGCCATTACAATAAATTTAAGCATTCTGTGATTCATAAATACAGTGTAACAGTTACAACATTTCAATACAACAAGAATGTATAAAACATACCTTGGTAGACAGTTCCTCTATCACACTGGTAGCCTCAATGTCCTGTCTCTGCTGTAGATCAGCCAACATGGCTACCTCTCCATCTTCATCAATACTGGGTTTGCCCTCCGCTGCTAGCTGACTGAGCTTACTTTCCAGTCTCACTGGGATAGCATCCTGTAGGAAGCACAAGATAAAAAAAGTTTTTTATACTCTCCTTTAAAATTTACTTTTTCAGTGATATGAAATTAAAGATATGAAAATTGTGCATTCTATTCAAATTCTGAAAACACTCAAAAGGGTTCAACTGAAATTTTTTTCAAATGCTTTAAAGAAAAACAAATAAAGAATTTAAAGTCCAAGAAGAAAAAAAACTATCAAGGATAACAGTAACACCTGGCCACTGCATTATTTCTTTCCTTTTCAAGAACAAATATTAAACCAGAGCAGTACTGTTTAAGTCATCAGTCTTTTTTTCATATTCCATGTTGGATAGCTGTGACTTACTCTGAACAGCTCCATTTGGTCATCTGGATTGGTGGCGCCACCTGTTCGCCACTGCTGTCGCAGCTCTCGCAGCTCTTCCAGCTTGTCTTGACGGTCCTCTTCTGAAGCTTCTTTTGCTTCTTGGCGACGGTCTGAATTGATGTCTTGCAACATCTATAAATAAACCCATTTATATTAAAACTTTATCTTATTTTGATAAGATACAAGTGGGTGTCTTTTGTTAAAGAACTTCAGATCACAGAAATAGTCCTTATAATAATCTCTTGATGAAGAACCTCATCTCAATACACTTGAGAACATAGTTTCTAATCCTTTAGATCTTAACACATAATGAAAGTACTTTCTAACTTAAAACTTGAAAATAAGTAGTATGAAGAGAATCAATAAAAGTGATTGCAATTGTTTCACCTTCTCTATTTTCAATGGTCAGGTGCCCAGACATACCTGTAGCAAAAGTTCCCTCTCTTTTGCATGCTTCAGCTCCATCTCCTTGACAACAGCCTCATGCATAAGTATGGGGTCCTTCTCATTCTCTGGCAGGGGCACTTCCTCTTCCTGTCCAGGTGTCGTCTCCTCTCCTTTTTGTTGCCCTTTCTTACGCCTGGCAGCTATTCTTTCTTTGGCAAGCTTTTCTTGTCTCAGTCTCTCTTGCTCTTTCCTGCATAAGAAAAATGAGAAATTAGAAGCTGCTTTTTTTTTAATTCAGTGGGCTCCAACCCTCTGAAATATCTAATCGCTTTATGTCTGATTCTCAATTCAGGTAATGACGGCATTACCTACTAATGTATTTTTTTTTTCAAAGCAAATTTGTATAAAAATTCAGTCCTATAATGACGCCTCTTTAATCTTTGGTCACTATACTCTGCATGTTATGGAGCAAATGATAATTAAATCATTTACCAAAAAATATCTTTTTGGCACAGATAAACTATAAGAAGGTCAAATATCCAATTTTTTTGATTTCCACAAGTCTGTAGTAATTGTTCAACACTTACGCTTTCTCTCCCTGCACCGCCAGCCCCAGTGCAATGGCTGCTGCATCAAATTGCTCCTCCTGCTTCGCCTTTCTCATTTCACGCCTCAGTCTGGCCAGCTCCAGCTGACGAGCACGCTCAGCAGAGTTCTTATCCCCCATGCCACGCAGTCTGTTCAGCAATTCCTCTTTCTCCTGAATAAAATAATTAATATAAATAATTTATATAAAAATATTTATTAATAATGAAGTTGAGGTCTTTTTTTGTTTGTTGATGCCATTATCATGTCATTAACATGATTATAATTTTGAATGTCATTCTGAATAACAAGAGTCTGTGATGTTAAATTATATCACAGATTATGTTTCATTCAATTAATTCTATTATTCTAATAACATGCTGCAATTTGCAAAAGAATAGTACAAATCAGATGTATTGCTAATAATTCAATTAAATGCAGATACTTTTATATCAATTGTAAAGATTACCTTATCATATCTATGTTCTAGATCCAAAAGGACATTTCTTCTCTTTTTCTCTTCCTCCTCTTCCTGTGCTATTTCTTCCTGTTCTAACTTCTTGGCTTCTTCCTCTGACATTCCTGCATGACCAAGAAAATTAACATTCAGTAATAACACTTGAACTGCAGAAAAAATGAAAATTAAAAAAAAAGTTATAAAAATGACCACACATTAACCGCTGATCATGTATAGTCCAATTCTTTTTCATAAGAGTGCAGGTTTCAACTGACAGGCAAAACTGCTTTCCAGTCCATGTCTTTGATTTGCCAGCCTCCTTTTGTTTCAAAATTTAATTACTATAACAATAGCATTATGTCCCTTACCATCTGCCAGCCTCTGTCTCCTCCTCTCCAGCCTCTCTCTGAGTTTCTGCTTCTGTTCCGCCCTGCTGTCTCCCATTAACTTTTCCAGTGTCTCTTTGTTCTTGAGTGCTTCTCCTTTAAAAGAGAGTAATTTGGATTTAAAAATTAACTCTTTAAAATTATAAATAGAATTATTGTAGACTAAGCCTATCAATTCATCACATACCTGATAAATCCTAATACTCTACACAATGTCTATTTAAGGTATGATTCATAAATGATTTAAATGTTCCTCGTCAGAAAATGTTTACAGAAAGTTTTATAAATTGGTATGGCAGGAGTATCGAAAAAAATTGAAGATGTTTTTCATTTTAATTTGAAAAAAAAAAAAAAAAAAACACATAAGGCAACAAAAACAACAAAATTGCTTCAAAACAAATATATTCCTCACCCAACAGCGCAGATGCCTCATCCAGTTTCCCTTCTTTCCTCAGTCTCCTTTCTTCCAGACGAAGTTGCATCATTCTTCTCTGACGTTCCTGCTCACTCATGTTTTTCCACTCAGCTTCTCCCACCTGTTGTAATTATATAATTTGTTCATTAAAACATTTTGACATTAACATATAATTTCTACTGAATAAAAAAAAAAACAAAAACAAAACAAAACAAAAAAAAAAACCAAGAGTGTGCAGTAAAAATATTAACTTGAATATTACCACAAGTCTTTCCAAACAAATTTCCAATAAATTTCTGATAAAAAACTGTGACTAAAAACATTGAAAGTGCCACAAGTAACATCTTTAACTTAGCAAAACATGTTACATATCTTTGTTGTTACAATATCCTTAATCAAAATATAATTTATTGTGATAATGTCCATAATTATGTCCTCAAAGCTACCAAATATAACACCCCAATCTCGATCATTTACCTGTTGAACCAAGGCCTCCATCAGTAACTTATTCCTCAGTTCTTCGTACTTGCCGTCCAGAGCCTCGAGAAGGTCGGACTCCTTGGCCTTGCCTCCCCCTGTCTTACTGTGGAACAAAACCCTGGCAATGTTCTCGCCTTTGTCCTGCTTCTTCTCTAACGCAATTGACTCCTGCATTGTGACCAAGTCAGCATCACTCTGAAATGATTGAATGCCACAATCAATGCTCTTGTACCTGTGTCTACATATGTGACTGGGGAATCAGGTAAGGCCATTATATAACGTTTCTCATCAAAGTGGTGAAATATCATTAAATAAAATAAAACACTTTAAAATTCATTTTAGCTAGTACATCTAAAACAAATTATTATTGGCAACTAGTCTAGACATATAAAACTCAATAGTTTTAGTCTACTGACTCAAAGACAAAAGAATGGAAACTCACAATAATACTATATGATATACGAAAATAAGTTTAAGCCTATCATTACGGCTAAAAAGAAAAAAGCACACAGGAATGAAAACACTGCATCAGTCAATATCACCAATTCAAAATGACCAAATTAATACAATGACTTTGCCACTACAACAACCACATATTCAGCAGTCTTACAGTGTTAGAGAACTTTGTGAGGATGTCGCTGGCTTCTTGGTCTTGTCGTTCCTGGAGGTCGGCCATGAGAGAGGTGTGAACTTCTTCATCTGATACCTGCCCTGCTCCGCTCTCTCTTCCTATAGATATCCTGCTACTCTCGATCTTTACCATTGTGCCATCACGGAGAATTTTATTGTTTGAATCTTTATCATCTGAAATAAGACATGTTTGTAAGCAATAAGGAAAAAAATTGTTGAGGTTAAAGACAGTTAACAACAAAATGTGTTTTAAAGCACAAAACAAAATTAAAATATAATTTTGACATTTATTAAACTAATTACACTAACATTTATCAATGTGATCTAAACTAAAGGAATAAAATTCCAGAGTCTTACATTTTAATGAAAAAATATTTTTCCTGACCCCTAATGCATTTTATAAATAAGCAAGACTGACTTGTTAAATTGCTAGTCACTGGCAACTAGTGTAGGTAGGTATGTAGACTTCTCTCATTTAGATATTGGCACACCTCTTGTCTGTCTGCTTCTATTTTTATTCATTTATTGAAACAAACCGGAAAGTGATTCAGTTTTTATCAATTAAATCAACCAACAAAGTATCACCTGGTCTCAGTGCCTCCCTTTCTTTCATCAACTCTGCCAGTTTTTCCTTCCTCTCCTCCTCCGAGCTCGCCTCAGCCAGCAGACGTAGCTCCTGGTTGGTCTTGTCCTCCATCATCTGCAGAAATTGCTCCCTCTCTTTGGCGTGTTTCTTTTCCAGAAGGTTTAACACTGCTTCCTGGAGGACTGTCCTGTCTCCCTCTGTCACGACTGAGAAAAAAATAAATAATTAAAGAAAAAATGCTTAGTAAATTATCTACTAAATTATGTATAATCATTCAACAGCCAGTAGTTTAAATATGTAAATTACATAGAACTTGTTAAATTTCATTGAAAGACACACGATTAAAATTTTCCATCTCCATGTGCCAACTTGTGATATTAATCCTGTTCTTTAAAAAAAAATGTCTCCCATTTTCACTTGTTTATTCAGCAGTCCTGTTATATTATTATAAAAATGTGAATGTCCTCACTTTAATTTATGACCATCCCTTTGTACAGGTTCTAATGGAAAAACATTTTTAAAAAATAAACATAAAAAGAGTTTAAATGCCTAAGTGCTTATTATCATAAACATCTTCCAAGTCAGATTTTTGGGGGAGTTGGTACAAGCTCTTCAAAGACTGACTATTGCAAGACATACTTTTATCCTCAGAGTCATCCTCTCCTAGCTTTCCCTGTGCTCTCCGTCTCCTCAGAGCTTCAAGACGCTCTCTGGCAAGTTGCTCTTGTCTCTGGCGATCATTTTTCAGCCTGAAATGAAATAACAGTTATAAAAATAATATAATTATATAATAATAAGAAGATCACTAATAAATTAACTATAATATTATGTGTTACTTAATTTAGCAAGCAATAAAATGTTGTTTAAATTTCACGGACTGTCAATACACAGTAGAGCTTCTTTTTTTTTACAGTAAAGCCATTCAATTTCTGTGCCACCAACCACTTCATACATCTGAGTAGCAAAATCCAGAAAGTGTTCTAAGAGTCCCACATTACAAAACTCTACTTCATCCCCTGATGTGACATCCTGTATATTCTCTCACCTCTCAGCTAAAGTAGCCTGGTTTCTCTCAGCCAGACCTATCAGGAGAGCAGCATTCTGGAAATTCTCCTCTTTCCCAGCTCTCTTTGCCTCTCTCCTCAGTCTCACCAGCTCTGCCTGCCTCTCACGCTCACTCAGGTATTCATCATTCAGACCTGAAAGCAGCAGTTGTATTGATTATTATTCAGGAAGACCTGCTGAAATGAAGTTATGACAGAGCAGGAGCTTTCACAGTGACTGTTAAAACGAACTGCACTTAGAAATTGTAACAGCTGAAACCACTTATAAATCAGAACATTGCCCCATCTTGTAATAATTGTAGTTGACTGTTACACTCAAATAGAATTATCACAAAGACTTCCATTGTATTCAAATTAAACAGAGCATTAGCCTTTACTATCAAATAACCACTAAGCCGGGCTAGGTGTTTCAAAAAATCACAAAGATGCCCCCAGTTTATTTAAGATAAAGTGTCTCTGCTGTTAGCTAGATAGAAAATAAGTCAGAGATGCTCTATGAGATGTAATAATGGCATCACACGGTATATAGCGTTAGAGATCCTCACCGTGGAGTCTTGCCAGTAGCGCCCTCTTTTCCTCCTCCATTCTGCTGTTCAGGTCACTGAGGGGGTCACCCTGTCCACTCTCCTCCTCATCTAGACCATCTCCATCCTCATCCTCATCAGGATCCAAACCTGAAAAAAACATTGCTGTAATAGAATACTAACATTCTTTTTTCTCAGTAAGCTTGTTACATTTATAACTGCAATATTAAATATAAAAAAGAACACACAGTAATAACTTTTTTATGTCAAATACTTACGCAGAAAAAATATATCTGGTGTGCTTAATTGTGTCCTTATTTTAAGTCAATACCATTCATTTCTAAATATGGCAATAAACAGTTGAAAGTTAAAAAAAAATAGAGCAAAAAGAACAAGCAGAGCAAATACATTGGTATTCACACATTTATTTCTAATTATGCAAATGCATAAATGAAAGATTAAAAAAAAACATGCAGACATAGAACACAGTCCACTGGTATTCACGCCACCCCCACCTTGTTCAATCCTCTTCTGTCTCCTGGCCAATCTCTCCCGGAGTTTCCTGTCATACTCCGCCTTGTTATCTCCCATCAGCTTACGCAGGTTTTCTTCTTGTTGGAGAAGGTCACCAAATAATTTTTGCAGTTCATCTTCTTTGCCTATGAAAAAACGAAAAATTTTCAATTTATCACAATGTTATGATTCATTATGACTGATGTCTACCAATATACATTGATACATTCTAGTGATGAGCTTGTAAATAAAAAAACTACGTTTTATTTTTTTCATGCCTTTTAAAAATCCCTCTTAAATTTATAAAATATCCTTGTGCTTTTAGAATTGGCACATACTTGAACTTAAATGATTTCATAATAATCTCAATCAACAACAAAAGTCACCTTCTCTCCGCAACTTCTTCTCCTGTAGTTTCAGTTGCATGAGCCTGCGCTGTCGTTCCTTCTCGCTGAGGCTGGCCCACTCCGCCTCTCCCATCTGCTTCATGAGGAGTTCCATCAGGAGTTTGTCTCTCAGGGTGTCATACTTGTCCTCTATTGCCTGGATATAAAATATCACCACACATTTTATGAACTTCCTATACGTACAGTAGGAATTGATAGGAGCTCCTTTCAAGATAAAAGGACGACCAAATTGATATGAACATTGCTCTCCCACACAATTACAGCATTTTAATTATGAAGTATTTTTTCATTTGATTGATTCTTCAATTACATAAAGCAGATTAAAAAGTATTAATTATCATACATGTCATATCTTTTTAAGTGATTCACCATCTTTTTACTCCAATATTTTCCATTTGACAGAATTTTCATTATTTTACAGTGAATAAAAAACATCAACGTACCTTGAGCAATTCATCATCTGGAGATGTTCCTTCATACCTAGTCAACACGAGGAAGACATTCTCTGCTGCCCCCTGGTGGCGTGCCCTGATCTCTAACCTGTGACCTATCTCAAGGTCATCTGCATCCTGAATAGTGAAAGTTGTTTTTGCTGTGTTTTATTATGTCCATATGTGACTTCAATTATGTTTTATTTGCATATCAAGGTAATGCAAACAAAACTTAAACCTTTTTTTCTGCTTAAAAATAGACAAATTTAAAAATTTATAATTTTGTTAATCTTTCTCAAATACCTGTTGGCAACAGTCTTTAGATATAAATTTATCAAGGCTATTAAAAAAAACTTTTTGATGAAATCTGAAACAAAAAGTTGAATCATTATCCTGTTCAATCTTACTCAGTCACTACTTAGAAATCATATATTTTCTGTGTAAATATATGATAAATTTTTCATTTTCTTCAACATGACTGCATCTATCTTAATAACGAAATCAAAGATGTCAATTAAGTAATTCAGGAAAGATATAGCATCAGATTACAAGTTTTCCGTCTACCTTCTGTGTCAGTGAATACAGCACTGTGGCGCTCTCTCTATCCTGCTCATCCTGCAGTTCCGCCAGCAGACGTCTGGTGACTTCATCATGGCCGACCTCTCCTCCGGTTGTCGTCTGCTCCTGTAGGTAGCGCCTCTTTATCACTGACCTCAGGGCGGCTGCCTCCTCCAGTACACACACGTGTTCCTCTCTGTCAGCTGTAAATATGAGATCACCATTATAATTTACAATAAAGAAAGGAGTTACTGTACAGTTGTAATTTTGCAGTGTCAATAATCTAAAAAAGTGAATCTGACAATTTCTTTACATCCTCTGGTAAACACAAAAGTTTTAATGAGAATGGGCATACGTATTTTGAGCCACTTTCAAATCAATAAAAAATGAACCACATTCTCTTAAACATTGACTCATTTTAAAATGACTGCCACATTTTTCAGTTGCAGTCATTTTTGACTTTTATGAGCAGTAGTAAAAACTGAAAGATGCTAGATAAGTTAGCAGATGCTAGGTTAGCCATGAGAATTAATTTGTCATGATACATACCTAAGCAACAAATAGTATTAAATTTTGCTTATTTATGATGAAGTTTGTTAGCATCCTTGGTTTCAATTAAGAAAACAAGTTGTTGAACATAGAGTAAGGAGCCTAATCAAATAAAATCAAACTCTGCTCACATAAACTGTTTAGATCAAGACGTCTCTTCTTGCCCTGCAGTTCTGTGAGACGCTTCTGTTTCTCATCATCTGGCATGGTGTCTGCCACCTCCAGCAGGTCCGCAAGACCAGGGTCCATCAGAATCTTGAGAAGAATCTCACGTTCTTCTGAATGCTTCTTGTCCATTTCCATCATATAGGCCGCCTGCATGGCTTGGAGATCATCTGGAATTTTAGGTATATTCAGACTCGCATGGATGTGTAACAATTTAAGTGAAAAATGCAAAAGTTCCTCAAGGGGTGGAGAGAGAGAGAGAGAGAGAGAGAGAGAGAGAGAGAGAGAGAGAGAGAGAGAGAGAGAGAGAGTGCTTAGNAACTTGCTTCTAGGGATCTACAAATTACCTCTTTTATTTGTAAGGATTTGTAACAGCTAGTGAGCATTAAAAAAAAAACATTAATTTTTAATTTCTGCCCACTAGTCATATTTACAATCTCCAATCACAAGCAGAAGATTCTTAAGAATGATCGGCTTACTTTTATCAGGCCTAACATGGTCATCTAACTCCTTGGCAATTTTTTCTCCTCTGTCAATGATAATCTGCCTGTTTTCCACCCTAAACCTGGCCAAATGCTGCTGTCTCTCTCGGTCAGACTTATGTCTGGTAGAGAAAGTTATGTTCACATTAGTCAAAGATGGCATTTAGACTCTATGTACTCACAGAACATTCTCCAATTCATTAAGATGAAAGATGTTTTGCTCTGTCTTAGATTTCTGGGATAATAAAAGTAATAATAAAATAAAATGGCGAATTGGAATCAATCTTTTAAACTTTACGACAATTGATATGTATAAAGAAGCTCTGTTCATCACAAAATTTGACTTTAACAAACTTTAACAGAAAACAGAACTTTACCAGACTTTAATAGAAAATAGAAATTATTTTTTCAAAGTTTCTTACCTCTTTTCTCTTGCTTCCTGACTCCTCTCCACCAGTCCTAACACCAGTGCCGATCTGCGGAAATCATCCTCTTTTTTGATCAAATATGTCTCTCTTTTCAGGCTCAGGAGATGAAGCAGACGGCGCCTCAGCGACAGATTCTGTCCATCTGCCCTCAGCCAATGTATGAGGGCATGCTGCTCGTTGAAGAACCTTTGCTGTAACTCAGCAAGAGGATTGGACACTTTGGATTCGGCCTCTGGTTCTTCATCTGAAAATACAGCAGAACCAATTGAATAAATAATTTCAATGTAATTATTTAAATTCAAGGCTATCTATTTAGAAATAGTACTCACTGTAATCTCTTGGAACTGATGAAGGTATTATACAGATATGAATGATGCTGATGCACAGCCAAATGATCAGGGTATACTCATGATGTATTTTACATACCAGGCTATTCATTTAGAAATAGAAGTCATTGCGATCAAGCAGCATTTTTCTGGGTACAGCAGATATGGATGCTGCAGATGCAAGTGTATCATTATGATATATTTCCATACCAGGATATATATGTATTTAGAAACAGAAGTCATTGTGATCATTTTAGGGTACAACAGATATGGATGCTGAAGAAACAAGCTAGTGTATCCTAATGATGGATATATTACATACCAGGTTCTTCAGTAGGCTCTGGAAGGCCCTGTAACACTCTTTTCTCATACTCTTCAAACTGAGTCTCCAGTCTGCTGGCAAACTCTTCTCGGCTCTCTCCCAGCAGAGCCCTCAGTTTCAACTCCTGTGTATGAGAAATATAAGTTAAATCTCTTCTCACTCATCCAAACTTCAAATTTTAAATTGGTTCAATTATATCAGCCAATTATTCTTTGTTTGAGACCCCATTAATGTAATGAAAAGGATTCAAACTTAATATGAACCAAGACATTCCTAGGTCTATGCCATTAAACAGAAAAGAAAAAAAATATCCAAAGAAACAAGAACAACTTATTTAATTTCACCCAATTCCAAAACACTTAACTTTATTTTAACTTAACTTAATTTTAACATTCTAGAATTATAGTCTCTATCTTGAAAATTATACTAGGGCTCATTTTATTACACTGAAACTACATCTTAAACCTTAAGGTTTGTACCCACCCTAGCTGCCTGTCCCAGGAATGCAGCCATGTCATCCACTTTCCCCTCTTGTCTCAGTCTCTTCTCCTCCTGCCTGTGTTTGACCAGCAGCCTGGTCTTGTCTTCTGTGGTGAACCTGAGGCAAAGAAAGAAAAACACAGCCTTGAGTCTCAACAGATCTAATATGTTATAACAAATATTCTTGACTTGGGGACAAAGGGGTCATCCATTTTAATCATCATTTTCACAAGTCTTCATAGTGTATGCTGGGGGATGGAGGGGAGTGGAGGGGGTTAATGTATTGAAATATAATAGACATGTTGGCCCAAATTTCAGTCAAAGGTCATCATTTTTAGCTTTTCACTTTGTTCTCTCTGAAGCATACCCAAAGCATTGGGTCTTTAAATCAACTTTCAACTAAGTTCTTTTGAGAAAATGTCAAATATATGACAAAATAAATCCACTCACTCTTTCCACTCTTCCTGATGCTGTAATTTCAGGGCAAAGACCAGCAGTCTGTCTCTGAGAGCCTCGTATTTCTCCTCCAGGGCCGCAATGTACTCCTTCTCCTCCTTACTGGCCTCAAACGTCCCCAGAACCAGCGTGGCAATGTTGTCGTAGTGCTCCTCTATGCGTGCCTTCCTCTCGTGTTTACGCATTTTGTTAATCTCTTCTGAGGTCTGTGAAAGAAATGTCAAATATGAGCTCATGCCAGAATTTTGTTTAGTTTCAGTCAAATTGTTATTTTTTGATGGCCTGGTACTGACAAAAATATTTAGGTGTTATACCCTTTCTTTGACTAACTAAATGCCTATGGCAGATGGCAAATATTTATTTCACTTGGTGGTTTTACTTGAACAATGAATACTATGCTGGTCAAAAATAAGTCTTCATTCAAATAAAAAATGGATAATTATAACTGCATATATTGCAGAATTCTTTAAAAATGTTAAGTAAAACTTAAGTGTTTTGACATACATGTACCTAAGATGCCCCTTATTATTATATTAATACACAAAATGTGTATCTCATCTTTTTTAAACAAAAAGATTAACAACATAACTGGGTTCTAAATATCACAGGAATGGCAATTTGACTTTCACCCTACCCTGTGTTGCATCTCCGCTATAATTCTCCAGAATTCTTCGTCTTGTTCCAACTGCAGACGCGCCAGGAGGATGCCATTCATCCTGTCCTCGTCTTCCAAATCATCTCTCCTGGCAGACAGCTCAGTTCTCGTGTCTTCTCGATAGATGGCGACACCTGCAACATGAAGAAATTGATACAGGTGGTGAATATTTAGCAGCGGAACAAAAATAAAATCTTCAGTGTGCAGACAGTTTATGTTTTTATTATAATGTTTGATGGCGGAATACCATTTTTATTAATGAAGTCATACTTTACATAAACATGTGGCACTTTCAAGCAATTTCATCAAATTTACATTTCTTAATTTATATTTGACAAACACACACACACACACACACACACACACACACACACACACACACAGTGTCACTAAATATGATTAAAAATTGATTCATTACTGTCTTGAGGATTTGGGGATTACTAAATTCTGTAACTTTTTTTTCAAATATGGTAATAAAATCTGCCTAAAAGTTACAGAGCTTACCTTCGTGTAGAATATTGACTAGCACAGCATGCTGGGAAGATCGATATTCAGCGGTGCTCCGACTCCAGCTATCACGCTGACTACGCAAAATTGTAAGCCTCTTCTTTCGCTCAATGGCAGAAAATTTCTTGGCTTCCATTTTGTATGATTCTGCTTGCTTTCCTTGTAGCATTTGAAGCATCATCTAAACACAAATTAAGAAAGCACAATTTTATTGCTTTCTCAGTGTTTCTTAGAAACAAAAAAAAGACACTAAACCTCAAGTTTATCTATTTCTACATCTATTTGAAATTCTTTCTAAACATCTCTAGTTTGTTAAATTATCCAAGGGCATGCAATTATGTCGAGGTCAATACAACTTATATTAAGTAAACCAAAGAACATTTGCTAGTGCTTACCCTTAAGCCATGTTTGAATACAGACCAAAGGTTAATAAACACATTTTCTTGGAATTTCCTTGAAAAATTCCTTTTCAAAGTTCTAAGTTACTTGAATCATTATATTGATTCTGTCAGAAAAAAAAGTACACTATGGCATTCAAATACCTATCACATTACCTCTCTCTCCTTGAAGTGCTTCTTGGAAAGTTCTGCCACAGTCTCCACCTGGAGGTCGACCACTCCGGGAGATCTCCCCTTCCAGGGGTCAGCACCAGTCTCAGCTACCTTCTGCGATTTGCGTCCCTTTCCTAGCTTTATCCTCTCATCAGCCAGCGCTTCCTGGCGGGAGTGATCGACATCAAATCTGTAATGAATTTTTTTTTAAACTAAGTAAAAAGTCAGATGAATGCAGTCACTATATTCTAAAAACATGGTACTAACAATGGAGCTATTAACATAAATGCATACAATGTACTTCTTGATTAATTATTTTTAACCATGTACATAAGTAACAAATTGCGATTGAAAATTCAATTCAATTTGCAGAAAGGAATTTCACATGTTGACAGCTTCGGCATGTTGTTTTCTCTCATCCAGACCAACATTATTTTTAGCCATGCAATTAAATAACAAATTGCGATTAAATTCAACAAAATTGGGAATTTTACCCGTTCTCAGCATCAGCCTGTTGTTTTCTCTCAGCCAGACCCACGGCCAGCGCTGAGGTGGCCCAGGGTTCTTCCTCTCCCAGTATCGAGTGCTGACGTAACAGCTTACAATACTCTAGCAGCAGAAGACTGGACGAGATGTGGCCATCTTTGTTAGGCTTGGCCAGCTCCAGCAGGCGTTCTCTCTCCTGGGTGTAGCGAGCGTGGAGGGAGACGAGGAGATGAGCACTGGTTGTGGGACCAACTGAGAAGAAACAAGTGATTCCAAGATAATACCTGATGCTTTTTAACGTCACTGGGTACAGGAAATTAAAGTGTTTCTAAAAAAATTTGTTTCAACAATTTATTTAAAGTAATTTGTTTCACTTTACTTTAAGAGGCTGTATGCAGGAAATTAAATAATTATCTAACTTTAAAAACCTCTACACCTATAGAATATGACTAGTCTAGTAAAAACCTAAAAATATCCATGAAATTATACAAATAAAGGACTAAATATAGTTTTTTAAACAGAATATTTGTTGTTGTAGTGGTTGNCTTCAAATTACCTCTTTTATTTGTAAGGATTTGTAACAGCTAGTGAGCATAAAAAAAATTAATTTTTCATTTCTGCCCACTAGTCATATTTACAATCTCCAATCACAAGCAGAAGATTCTTAAGAATGATTGGCTTACTTTTATCAGGCCTAACATGGTCATCTAGCTCCTTGGCAATTTTTTCTCCTCGGTCAATGATAATCTGCCTGTTTTCCACCCTAAGCCTGGCCAAATGCTGCTGTCTCTCTCGGTCAGACTTATGTCTGGTAGAGAAAGTTATGTTCACATTAGTCAAAGATGGCATTTATGTACTCACAGAACATTCTCCAATTCACTAAGATGAAAGATGTTTTGCTCTTTCTTAGATTTCTGGGAAAGTAATAATAAAATAAAATGGCAAATTGGAATCAATATTTTAAACTTTACGACAATTGATATGTATAAAGAAGCTCTGTTCATTACAAAATTTGACTTTAACAAACTTTAACAGAAAACAGAACTTTACCAGACTTTAATAGAAAAAAGAAATTATTTTTTCAAAGTTTCTTACCTCTTTTCTCTTGCTTCCTGACTCCTCTCCACCAGTCCTAACACCAGTGCTGATCTGCGGAAATCATCCTCTTTTTTGATCAAATATGTCTCTCTTTTCAGGCTCAGGAGATGAAGCAGACGGCGCCTCAGGGACAGATTCTGTCCGTCTGCCCTCAGCCAATGTATGAGGGCATGCTGCTCGTTGAAGAACCTTTGCTGTAACTCAGCAAGGGGATTGGACACTTTGGATTCGGCCTCTGGTTCTTCATCTGAAAATATAGCAGAACCAATTGAATAAATAATTTCAATGTAATTATTTATATTCAAGGCTATCTATTTAGCAATAGTACTCACTGTAATCTCTTGGAATTGATGAAGGTATTACAGATATGAATGATGCTGATGCACTGCCAAATGTACAGGGTATACTAATGATGTACTCCACATACCAGGCTCTTTATTTAGAAATAGAAGTCATTGTGATCATACAGAATTTTTCTGGGTACAGCAGATATGGATGCTGCAGATGCAAGTTATCATTATGATATATGTACATACCAGGATGTGTGTGTGTGTGTGTGTGTGTGTGTGTGTGTGTGTGTGTGTGTGTGTGTGTGTGTGTGTGTGTGTGTGTGTGTGTGTGTGTGTGTGTGTGTGTGTGTGTGTGTGTGTGTGTGTGTGTGTGTGTGTGTGTGTGTGTGTGTGTGTGTGTATGATATATATATA